GAGATCAGGGGAGCAAGTGGAAGAGACCCTGAATAGGTGGAGTTATGACCTGGAGAGAAGAAGAGTGAAGGTCAGTACAAGAGAGACAGAATAGTGTGTGTCAATGAGAGACAGAGGAGTAGCAGTGGAGATACAAGGAGCAAGGCCAACCATCCAAACCAATGGTGCACAAGAGATGCGAAGAAGACAGTGGAGATGGGTGGAGTGTGTGAAGACTAGTGTCATGGGTGATATGTAACAGAAGGATAGCAGCAAGAATAAAAGGCAAGGTTCCCAAGATAGTAGTGGGAACTGCTATGAAGTTTGAAAACAGTGACACTGAGAAAAAGACAGGAGGCAGAGCTGATGTTAAAGATGGCAGAATTTAGCTCTGGACAAGATCAGAAGTGAGTACATCAGAGGGAGACAAATTTAGGGAGGAAAGGCTGAGATGGTTTGGACATATGCACAGGGGGGTTGTGGACAAGGGATGATGAATAGCAGGCAGAAGGAAAAGAAAGTGTTGCATTTTGCTGCTGTAGAACTCTTTTGAAATAATATATTAGATTTGTTCTCTTATGTGCTGATCTGGAAGTGCTCGATAGAGCTTTCACATCAAACCCACCATGGTAAGAGTTGATAGTCGTCCCTCATCTCTTTTCTGTGAAAGAAGGTGAGCGCTAAGCATTATTAAAAGTTACTTCACACAACACAATAACAACAATTACCTGTTGAGATAATAAAAGTTTAAGCGGAAGTTGGCTAAAAATAAGCAAAGGAATAGTTGACCTGGTTTTGCTAGCTGTTAGCATAGTTAGCTAACAGACATGCTTGTATTTATGCAGCTGGAGTTTGTAACTCCAGTCTCCTGCAGCAGGGTTTTGTGTGAGCAGGCGCAATCTGTCAAGAGCTGCTCCTAGCATCTTGGAAATAAAACTTCAATGGTCTTTATCTGAATAATTATATTGGCTCGACCAATGCTACAAATACACAAATGACTGGTAGGAACAAAAGAAATTTCATTTTCCCTCTTAGACGTCAGTGTTCCATCAAAATTATTTTAAAAATAAAAATCATTTGAAACTGTTGCTTTACAGATTAACCTTATTTTATGAAATAGAAAGTACTTATATGTTGGTACCATACTGTATATACTATATGCTGTATATAAACAACTAACATGCTGTTTATTCCTCAAAGTAAAGCTAATGAATTAATGACTGGAATTTGGATTTTTTCCAGCAGTGGAAACTTGTCTGGTAGCCAAAATAAGTCTGTTGATGTTTCATTTGTGATGTCATGTACACAGTGCTTGAGACTTGGGTCTGGACTTGGAGGAGCTTGAAGATATAGTCCTCCATACTGGATGTTATACCGGTTGTAAGTAAACATGTACTCCCTGACTGCTTGGCAGTGGCTTGTGGAGGTTGCTAGCTGTCATTGGGTTAAATTTGTTGCACTGTCATGCCTCCAAAATGCCAGAAAAGCATTTTGGGATTAGTGAGGCAAGCGTGGTGGCCTGTTAGTGACCAAAGAAAGCACAAGGAGGTTTTAGCTAAAGCACCATCTAGAGCAGCAACGTACACCAACCACTTGCCAACCAGTCTAGGAACGCACATTTTCCCCTTGCAACTGGTGACTGTATCACATCCAAGATGGTCGACAACTCTAGAAAAATATGCATATGCTGTCATGAGAGAAACCTCTGTTGGATATCGAGACTCCGACTTGCCTCGTTTTGTGAAATGCAGTTCTAGATAAATGGTGATGACAAAAAGCTTGGTGTAATACTTCACACTGGGACTTAACAAACAGATGGCTACACTCATGTTTTACGTGCCGACTGTGGTGGCTGTGTGCAAAAACATACATAAACATAAGGCACTCCTACCCACACATATAGAGCTCAGTTGCATAGTATCTAAGGTAATCATGACACCAACAGTATCGTTAACATTTTGGACACGCACCAAAAAAAGGATGCCTCCACACGCTAATCTTCCAATACCTAAATTGGAAATGGGTCAAACTTCACAAACACACTTGGACACATCCACAGTTTGTTTTCATGTGTGAGGGTAAAGAAGTGTATATGAGTGCTTTGAGGCAGCAAAGCTGATTGTATTTCCTCTCCAGCAGCTGATACTGTAGCTGCTGTGACCAGCTGCAGCTGTCACTATGTGTCACATGCACCCACACACACATGCACTCACGCCAAACTCACAGCACACAACCCACCCCACCTGCACGTAACCTTTAACTTGAATGCATACGTGACAGCGGAGTCTTCATGAATAACCTGGATGACTGAATAAGCACAAAAAGCTCCTGTCTCAGGGGTTAGTTTAAAAGGATAAAGGTGCAGCACAGTGAAAATCACATTTCCTCAATGTCATTTTACTGGACAGCCTGAGAGGATTTGGAGGAAGCATTTTCCTTAAATATTCCACAGTTGTGGAAATTTCTTGTATAATATTTTAGACATGCTTGGTCAACAGCATGTAACTGAGTTGTATTTTCCACTGGCTACTTGAAAAGCATCATTGTTTCAGTGAGTGCTAAGGCTAAGACAAAGCTAGGAAGGACCGGATTAGCAGTGTTTTATTTATTTTATCTAAGGAATAAATACAGTGACATTAAAATACACCCAGATTTCCCCGTAACCTGTAACTGAGAAAATAACTGCATGCTAACGGCACATCATCATCATCATCATATCAACCTATATATATATATATTGTTTTTTTTTCTTTCTTTGTTTCTTTCTTACTTACTGTAGCCTCATGTTTTGGTGCTTTATTGTAGTGTCCATATGTATCAACTGGATATAATTCATGATCTCCTCTTTCCCATGTCACTGACAAAAAAGTTCCTTTAAAAAACAGAAAATGAGGAGCAATTTTCAGTCAGTACGTTGTTTGTTTTTTTGTTTAAGTTTCTGTATGTGGTTAAAAAGTGTGATTTCAAAAGTACAGAGAAAACTTTTTATAAAATTTTACACTAAAACTCTTTTTTATGGTGTAATGTAAGATTTATCAAGTCCGTTTCAGTAAGTTCAGTTATCATCAAAAGGCACACTTCAGTTATTCTACCTGTTTTATTTCCCATAACTTAATGAACTTGAACCCCAATGCAAAAAACAACACCCACCTGAAAGGTAATCCAAATTTCAACAGTACATTAAGAAGATTCTGTGGATGTTTCGAGCTTTACATTGCAAAAAATACTCATTTTCACATACTGTAAACATACTGTACACTGAGACAGATACATGTAGGTGATATTTACAGTAACTGACATTGTTCAAGAGTATTTAAAAAAAAATCACATATCAAATAATTATTTGTGCACATAAAATATGAACAAGAGAGATCATTTTCAGTCTGACTTGCTCTGCTTCGTATTTGGACAAATTTATTATCATCACTTTGAATTTAGGAAATGGCGAAAGAAAGACTAATCCAAACCAATTTTTTGTTTCTGCAAAGCTTCTGCTGAGAGCGATGTATAAAGTAAGCACTTAAAATATGTGTAACCTGATTGGTATGTTTTTACAGGGAGTGTAACAGACAATGTTATTGAACCAGATCCAACTACATAAAAAAAGATCTCCCAGCTCTTGTGACAGAGTGCACCGTTCGTACTTATAACAGAGCAAAAGCAGACAGGATAAAAGGAAAGCGTGGGTTCATGGTGTTGTTGGTGGAGGGACAAAGTGGGGGATATAGTTTAAGGGAATACGTGATGAAAGGAAGCCAACACATGGGGAGGACACTCATGACAGTCACAAGTTTGGGTCTCACATGTTTATCTGATACACAGTTATACACCACCAAATAACTACAGACCAGTTGTGAGTTTTGTTAGAAGGAATGAAGAAAACAGGCAAACTGCGAGCCTTAAAATATACTCCCCGTTTCAAATAAAACCTTGGGCCACTGGGCAAACATGTAGTTTTTTATCTCAGTCCTGTTGGGTTCTGGTTCATGGAGAGTTTATCTTGATATTGTACATAAACTTTGGTTTCTGAGAAAAAAAAAGTTTATTTTAACTGCAAATATTATTTAAATTTCACATTTAATCCTTTGTGGAACAATGTAAGAAACCACCGTTTTTCACTTAAAAGGCTCCATTACTGTGGCAGCTTTTCAAGACAGGTAGTCCTCATCTGGTATTTTGATGGTATTTTGCAAGAACACATTATGTTCTGTCAAAACACTTTTACTTATTCTAAAATTAATTTTTACCCTTCAGCTGTATAAACCTGATTGAGTATTATCGTAACCCTGGCAAGTGGGCGGGCAAGGTAGACACTCAAGTTTGTGATGGAGATAACTTGAGAACGAGGCGACGCAGGATATTCAAATTGATAAAAATCTCGAACGAGTCAGAATCTCAGAGACCTTGACCTCAAGGTCAGAAGTTTTCAGGAAATCTTGTGAATGAGATAACAAGGCAATGTAGGATTTTGACATTGATTCTAAAATAAATATTAGCTTTGGGAGGTGTAGAAGTACATCTACTGATGCGAATCTTATTCATCCCACCTGATAACTCAGGGGCTGTTAATGATCAACAGTAGTTGAAAGTCTTTAATGTTCTGACTCTGTCCTCTTTCTGCTCAACACTCTCAAATGTTACTGCACCTACAGAGCATTCAGTGCTCTCCAGTACATTCTAATGCTGCTGTGCTGCACTCTTATTATGAGGACAATGATCTTTTTGACAATGTGCAGTGATTTGAAGCAGCAACCTCGCCGACGGCTCACTCCTCTTCTGTTTTTAAGCAACAGGTAATCTCATGACTTTAGTTGAGGAGCATTTGGGAATGAAGTAGCATGCATGATATTTTAGTACTCTTAAAACACGTTTTATTTGGTACCAATATCATCCCTGTAGTAATTCCAATTTCAGGAAGTTGATAATGTTTGATGTCACTTTGTGAGTTTTTTTTCAAGGCGCTGCTTTGCAAACTTTTCCTGTGTTTAAAGCTCGTGAACCAAAAAAACTGCCCTTTTTTCCGTTAAATAAGCTACAGCATGATGCCTTCATGATCGAGACAAACTTCATACCTGTTTGAAAGGAGACACTGCTGAATATAATTTGCCCATGTAGCTGCCTTCTTGATTCACACCATTATGAGGAAAAATCGGACCCTGGATCATAAATAAAAACGTTGACAACGTGGCCTTATAAAAGACCAAAAAGGTTGAGTTACTCAACTCTCAAACACAAACATTATTAACTTCAACAAATCGGTGCTTACTGCACACACAATGGGAATCCTAATGCTCTAATTGGTCAAGCTATTGAACTCAGACTGTCCTTACAGCTCCAGGTGGCTGAACGGTTTGCCTGCCCGTTGGTCAAGGATCCTGGAGCTACATCTAAAACTTGCTCAGAGCAAGAAGATGGAGGAGCCAGATTCAGTGAGCTGCCTTGAATTGAACTCTCCACACTGCCCTTCCATCTAGAATGCTGAATGTCAAGTTCTGTAACATCAGTAAGAGCTGAGTTCCCATTCAGCCTTTGTGGGGGATAACCGCTGTTCTCGCTGCATAGTCCCAATAGTCTCCTTATGCTCCACTGTCTTCCCTTACTCCTCAAATGGAGTATCTCCTGGAAGGCGTGCCTGAAATCGGGGCTGCGACAGTAGATGAGAGGATTGAAGGCTGAGTTGGAATATCCAAGCCAATTGAGGAGTCTAAAGGGTACCTCAATGTTTTTCAGGCTGAGTATGTCTCTGAGGATGTTGAGGATGAAGAATGGTAGCCAACACAGTGTGAAAGTTCCCATGATGATACCCAGAGTTTTTACAGCTTTATGCTCTTTAAGAGAAAACTTAAGACGCTTTGTGGCGGAATGTTTTCCGTCCCTTTTGTCTGTCCTCAATCTGCTCTCTTTCCCCTTTTCTTCTTTACCAGTGTCCATACTTGGGTTCTGCATATTTAGACTATCGTCTCCTGCTTCTTCTCCCACCTCAGTTCCTGTCCTGCTTTGATTTAATGCAGGGCTATCATCAGGATAAGCAAACTGTGAAGCGCAATGCAAGTTATACATATGTCGTTCCCTTCCTCGGATCTTCTCCAGCTGTTTCTGAGCCTCCTGGAACACGCGGGTGTACAGGAAAATCATCACCACCAGTGGCAGGTAGAATGATACAATTGAAGAAGTCACTGCATATGCCGTGTTCGTGTTGAACTCACAGCAGTTTTCATCTTTCAAACATAAGAGAGCTATGTGATCATGTGACACCGACATCTTCAGATGTATGGGTAGGAAGGAGATGAGGGAGGCCACCACCCAAACTGCGAGCACCACTGCAACAGCTCGACCCCTGGTTATCAGCAGGAGACAAAAGAGTGCGCAGAGAAGTGAAGAACGTTGCAAACAGTAGACGTGAGTGACAACACAGAGATATTTTCTTAGTTAAATATTATGTTGGTTGTCCAAAAATGTAAAAGAGCTCTAAAAGCAACATAATAGCCACGACTACATTCTAAATTAACTACAGCTAAGCCCAGGATCTAGCTCAGGCAGGTAACATGAGCTGCACTGCGTCATGCAGAGATAACATGCCTCATTCTTCTCATTCTCCCCATGTCATATGCCAAATACACTCTTTTTCAGTTTGGTGGTCTACTTAAGCTTCCTTTTAAATTTTATATGTAACGTATTTGTGGGTAATTATGAGTTTGGGGTCTGGTTAATTATATTCTGCTAAATATGTCCTTCTGATTCATTCAGATTTAAAATGGCTAATCACTAAGATAATGACTTTTCTTCTTTACTGTTACCTACATTATACATGTATTAATTTGATGAATTTGAGTCAGATATAATAATGGTAAAAAAAGAAAAAAGAAGTACAGCATCTATAATTTCTAAGGTTTTACATATCAGGATTAATTTTTTTAAACACTGTCTAGTCTTTATCATCATGTCTTATAACGAGGTAACTATAACTTGAGATGAACAACAACACATGACATGTTGCACTGTGTCATTATTTCTGCAATAAAAACAAAGCTAATATGTGGAAGCAGTGTGTAAAAAAAACATGAATTATTCGCTTGCAGAACAACCTTGAGCAGCAATAACTTGAAATAGTCTTTCTCTGTGTGTCTTTATCAGTCTCTCACATCATTGTGGGGGAATTATGACTCATTCTTCTTTACAGAGGTGTTTCCGTTCATCAGTGTGAGCAGGTTTTCATTTACTCAAAGCTCTCTTAAGGTCACACAGAATTTCAATCAGCTAGAAGTCTGGACAGTAACTGGATCTGACTGAGTTAGAACATCTTTTCTTTTTGAGTCATTGAAGATTGCCTGCTGTGCTTGTGATCATTGTCGTGTTGCATGATCGAATTTGACCTAAAATACTTTGGTACACAGAGTTCATGATCGACTCACTGACTGCAAGGCGCAAAAAGTGGGCTTGAGATTTTGCACGAGGTGCTTGTGTTAATATGCTGTGTTTGGCTTTCACCAAATGTGGCGCTGCACAATATAGCCAAAAATCTCCACTTTGGTTTCATGTGTCCAAAGGACTTTGTTCCAGAAGTCTTGTGGTTTGTTCAAAAGCAACTTTGCAAACCGAAGCTGTGCTGCTATGCTCTTTTTCAAGAGAAGAGGCTTTCTCCTGGCAACTCGGCCAAAACAAGCCATGCTTGTTCAGTCTTTTTTTAATTGTACCATCACGAACTTCAACATTTAACATGCTAACTGAGGCCTGCAGAGTCTGAGATGTAGCTCTTGGGTATTTTGCAGTTTCTTTGAGCACTGCACGGTCCGACAGGAGGAATTTGCTGAGAAGTCATTGGAAGATTAGCAGCTGTCGAATGTTTTTCACTCGTGAATCCTTTTTCTCAGTTTAGAATGATGGATTTCAAATTGTTTAAAAATGGCCTTATAACCCCGTCCATAAAATCACTGCTGATGTTTTTTCTTCTTCGCATTGTGTTAACACACACCTGAATGTTCCTGACCAGCAAACTGCCAAAACATCTGCTTTTATTGAGGCGATTACACATTTATTGAAGTGCATTTGATTAGCAGCACCTGGCTGCTACCTACCCTGTTAATCCCAATGGAAGCAGTAAGGAAGTATTCAGTTTTTCACACACTGCTTCTGCGATCAGGCATTAATTTTGTATAATAAACAGTCACACAGTGTAATATGTCCAATGTATTGTTGTTCATTTAAAGTTTTATTTAACTAAGTTTAAGACCTGCTAACGATTATTTTAATGTTACTATATCCATATTTTACCACGACTGTATTTGAGAATCAGAATATCTTCATTGTCATTGTAACAAATACAATAAAATCAAGTCTCATATTTTCCAGTATGTTGCACCTCTGGTTGTACCGCAACACGTGTCAACAGTGTTTGCCTTTAACAGGAGACAGAAAGCACCTGATGTGACATCACTGGTTGGGTTTAACAAAGTGTGCAACATCTTGGAAAGTTTGAAAATGTAGCGATATTTGCATTGGCAGCTTGATCTAACCTCATACTACATACTAGTCAAGCTCCATCTCTTTTGTACCTGGTGAGCAGTGTTGGGTAGCGGAGCGGCGAGGTGATGGCAAGGTAGCGGTCCAGTGCGATCACACAAAGCGTTTCGATGCTGGCAGTCACGCACAGCACATCGGTCGCTGTCCAGAAATCACACATGAAATTTCCGAACTGCCAGACTCCCCGCAGGATGGAGATAGAGCCAAAGGGGACCACAACCACACCCATGATGAGGTCAGCAACAGCCAGTGAGGCAATGAAAAGATTGGTGACAGTCTGCAGCCGCTTAAACCGCAGGATGGCGGTAATCACCAACACGTTTCCTGTGTAGAAGAAAGCAAACTGTATTCGAAACTATAAACTGGATCAATTGTAAAAGCGCATTTCAAATACAAGCCGTCGTCTGATTGAACCGAAAGAGTCACAGCTTACCGAAAACTATAGCCAGGACCAGAATGGCCATAGCAACACCAAGCAGCACGAGTTCTGCATCACTGTACTCTGGTCTAGAAGAATTGAAGACCTGGGTGAAGTTACTGTGCTGTGAATGGTTAGTCTGTGCTAACACAGTACTCACACCTCCCATGATCTACAGTGAAAACACACAAAAACACAGCTTTGGTCACGAAAGATAAAGACACATAAACTGATTGTTTTGCATGCATGATCAATTTAGTAGGGAAGACGTTTAAAAGGTATACAAGAGATTGGACAGCTTGTATTTGTTCCTTCGTATGCCTCTGTGTTTGTCATGCTTTTAGCAGTTTGTGCAGCAGCTTATGGGATTTGTATGTTTTTTTTGGTGTAGCCTCAGTCCACAGGATCAGCATTTGGCTGCAACTAGTCCACACACACTTCCTAGTGGGGTGTTATCTGCTCGGGCTCCGATGCTTTTTGAATAAGATTACATGTGACCCTTTGATCTGTTTGGCCTTCTTTAACAAATAAGGGTATTCCTTTTTTTTTTACACCATTAATGCCATTAAAACAAAAAAGCAAATGCCAGTGCTGGTAAAAGCAAGAGGATGGCTCCTGCAACACATGTAAATGAAGACACTAAATGCCCTTGTTATATAATAGTGCTTACATAAGTAAATGCACAGACAGATGATTGTGCTCCTAAAGTGCCATTAACACACACAGGAGTATATTTAAGCTGTTTGTATTCCAACAGATCATTCTTTCTGCCAGGATGATCAAAGAATGAAAAGATATCAAACTTTGAGCAGTATTTGATGAAAAATAGCTTTCACAGAAGTCTGTGGATGAGAGCTAGCCTGCTTTTTATCTTATCGAAACATACATACTGTGTATATGTGTTCACAGAGGAAGTTATATGTTCCTCTATAGTGTCATGATTTAAACGTATCCTCCCCAGTGACAACATATGTCCTGTGATATAATGTCATGTATCAGCATCCAACATGTAGATTATTAGTTTTCTTTTTTTTTTTAAACTGATACTTAATACTGCAGTGACAGAAAACAGGAGAAAAGTGAGCAGCAAACTTTTACAGGAAGTAAATGTCCTTGTCCAAACCACTAGGCCATCAGGACTTCCTCTACACACTAATCTTAGTGCCATGGTACAAAGTGTACACTTTCGATTCAGGGTGTTACTAAGCACAAATAACTGATGCTGAGGAAGAGCAAGGCTTGTGAAATACTATATAGGCTCCAGGAGCCCGTATACTGGTGTTTGCAAAGGAGCAGTGCACGGCAGAGCAACAACAGGCAGCTTAAATAAATAATCCCCACATTGCTCTGATGCTTTATAGATATATTCCAGTGATACATTAAAAAATACATAACAGTACAGTTTTGGCATCAGTTGCATTTATTCCTCAATGTTATTTCTAGTCATGTTCCAGCATAAATAGTAATAATAAAAACAAGACTGAATATAAATGCTCTTCCACAGCAGGCATCTAACTGACAGCAGACATATGGCGATCCTTGTTTGCGCTTCTGATGTAGATCCCTGTCGGGGGATGGTACGTTGTATAAGTCATCCTGTCTGGACAGTCCATGAGTAGTAGACAGATACTAAATGTCTGCTACTTATGGACTATTTGCCCTTCACAGGTGGCATTTGACTTATTTTTGCTTTTCTCCAATATGTGCAATTAAGAGAAGAACACATCTATGTCTTAATGCTAATCGTAAGGCTGTTTGGCCAACTGGATCTTCTGTGTGCATTTGCACTTAGATGCATGTGAATGTTGCCTTTATTCCAATGCAGTCCAAACACTCACAACATATGTTAATTGGCAGCAGTAAAGAGGTGCATTGATTCACGAGTGTTTACCCAGTTCTCCCAGGGTCAATGAGCAAAGTGTTGAATTTTGGGATGCTTTTTAAATGTCGGGCGATTGTTGTTTTTATGACAGTCATCCTGTAAGTGGCATAATCGTCTAAACATGAAAGTTAAACGGTGTCATTACTTTGCAAGTGCGAGGCACCTCACATTAATTTGGAGAGCAGGTATGCTGTCAATCATGCCGTCTGCGTCCACAGCAGCGTGTTTGTGCGAACATTCGTCATTGCTTGGAAAACGTCCCTAAGTCAGCACATTAACATTTTAGTAAATACGAACTAAAAGTGCAGAGAAAATGATGGATCTGCTGGAAAGGTAAGTGCAGACTCCTTTTAAAAATAGCATTTTCATTAATTGTGCTTTGAAAAGAGTTCTGTTAGACAATAATGTGCGTGATTGTGCACTACACACACAAAAATCAGACTTTCATGATTCATTTATGTTTACATGATGTGACAGTCGCTGTTGTTTTTCTCACAACACCAGTCACTTACCCTGTTACTCTTTGTCCTAATGACCCCTGCACTACCCCTGCAGAGGGGATCAGTACTGCAGGAGGTGGTTGCACACATTAATACCAAGTCAAACTTGGAAAACTGACTCCAATCGCCTCCCTAACCAAAACTGTTTAAACAGCTGAGACCGAATCAATCACAAAAGATTTACTGAGACGTAAAAGTCCCAATATTTAGGCTGAGGGAGCATGGCGATAGTAAGTACACTGAGCACTTAACACACAAAAGCTCTTGCACAAATATAAGCATGAAGCTGCAAGTGTGTGGAAAATACACACAGAGAGAGAACACCCAGCTTTTGTTGTCATCGGTAAAATAAAGAGATGGCGGTAGAGCAAACTGTGAAAATGACACATGCTTTACTAGGAAAAGATAAACAAGTTTCTGTCCTGATACCATAATAACAGGAAGAAAAGGAAGAAAATCAATGACATCTGTAGCTTTTGTCAGACAATTTAAACGATTATATGATAGGTAATCTTCAAATCTCCCATGATGTCAGAGTTAGGTGCACATGTTTTAAACAATGTCATCGTCAAATAGTCTTGTAAAACTAGAAAAACTTGAAGATTCTTTATCTGCACTGATCCCTTAGCATTTACTTTAAATCTATATTAATTTCACTGCTTTGATAAGTCCAAATAAATCACAGAGAGTGGTGCTTCCACCCGTGACAAATAGGTTGCCTGCAAGATTTGCACTTTGTAAAACAGACTTTTATTTTCAGGTGTTCTTTAATTGTTACCTCCAGACTTTGTCCTCTTCTTCAGTCCAGTGATTTCATACTCCAGAAGCTTTTAAATCCACCACACAAAGATTCATAATAAAGTGTCTGCCAGCAACTTCTTCTTCATTTTTTGCTGAGTTGTTAATTTCAGGAGTTAGTGTGCGACTGACATGCACAGACAAACACACACGTGCGTGCTCTGTCTCGCTCCCTGTTTCTGTTCCCACACATGTATAAACACTTTCAGGTCTCAAGCACACTTGCCCCTTTGAAGCAGCTGAGTCTGTCAGCCTTTTTATAAGCAAGCCACGATGACATCACAGCAGGATAGTAGCCTATCAGAGGACAAGGAATGGCTTTTGCTATATATCATATGTCTGCAGTGCACTGACAGCCGGACAGCACCCAGTGCTCCCTGGGAAACCTTAGGGTTTTAACATTTATTTATTCAGGGCAGCTTTTCTGAGCTTCTTTTCAGCACCACCCTCCTCACATTCTCACAAAGGAGGGTGCCAAACAAAACCACAGACTTCTGTATTTGGCTGCTGTTTAGCTGTACTTCTGCACCACAGCAGTGCAAAACATAACAGCAACACTATTCAAACTGAATATGGCATTATACTGTATTCCCATAACCTGCGCATTCAGTATCAGTATGAGGATATAATAAGAATCACTTTGCATGCTCAGACAGAAAGTCAAGGCTAAACATCCATTCACCAGTCTCTTGTTGCATTAAACCTTAAATTCGATTGTTTCTTTGTTCCAAACTGCAGGGCTGATTTTAATATTTATAATTTTATATTAAAATGTTTAATACAATGTGGACTACATGAAGTCTCATTAAGACAAACTTAGAGGCAGTGGATGAGGGAAACAAAGTGTTTTATTATGTAATTTTGAATTTTCTAAAAGACATCAATTCATGAGTTATTTCCTTGATTTCTCTACCACTACACAGTCCTGTGAAAAACTAAGTGCACATCTTGATTCAGTAGCTGGTAGAATGACTTTATCCATCTTTCATATGCTTGTGGGGGACCTTTGGCACACTCTTCATTGCAGTGTTGGTTCAGTTCATTGAGTTTTCGTTTACACCACAAGGTCCCCAGATGATGTGGCTGCAAAATATCATTATCTCTCCACCACCATTGTTTGAGGTGCAGAAATACTGGGTTTGGTTTTGCCAAATGGGGTGCTGTGAAATATAGCCAAAGATCTTCGCTTTGGTAGGAGCTAAGGACACTTTAACCATGCTGCTATGTTCTTTTTAGAGACAGGAGGCTTTCTCCTGGCTGCCCTTCCAATGAATCCAGGTTTGTTACATCTTTTTCTAATTGTGTTTTAACTTTTAACATGCTTCCTGAGACCTGTGAGGTTTGAAATGTAGCGCTCGTTTTGTTGTTGTTGTTTTTATTTCCCTGAACATTGCATGGTCCCAGCCAATTCACCTTGAGGGGATGTATGTAGGGATGGCAGTTGTGTGTTACCACACACTGAACGCTCCAGACCATCAAACTGCCAAAATCTCAGTGTTTATAGAGGTGCTCACACTTGTTGATGATCAATGAATCAAAGAGATTTCATTAGCAGCACTTGGCTGCCACTTACCAACTTAATTCATAAGGAAGCACTGAGGGTGTACTTACTTTTTCACTGCGCTGCATGAACTGTATTCATAATGAAAATGACCCACAATAGAACATGAACTTTGCTGCTTCACATTTGTGCATCAGTGTTCCTCATTTCACTGATCCATCACAGCACAGACAAGTCACCACTGGTCACATATAAACAAAACACTGCGATTACTCTTTTGCCCAAAAAAAAAATTTTTTTTAAAGCGTTCAAGGTAAGTCTCCATAAGTGTGCAAAGCTGTTAATGTGATCTGTGATCTCTAGTAATCATAAATACAGTGTACATACAAAATAAAAAACCAACCCAGTGCTCAAGATCGTGAATGCCTCTGATGCAACCAGTGGTAGTGTCAGTAATCATACCCAACCAAATGTTAGGCCACTAAAATGTTTTGGAAAGAGGCTACCTCGTAGAGAGCCACCCAGCTGAGTTATGACATTAAGTCAAATCCTGCACCTTCCATCATGCCACCTTGTGTGCTTACTACGTTAAGACTCTTAATGTGTTCCAGTTGAAGTTGGAAGTCAGAACTGATCATTCAAAATTTTCCTCTGCATGAATTGCTCTACCTTGCCGAGTAGCAATCAAAAACCAATTTTTTCTTGCTTATCTGACTTTACCACTGGAACACCCTCAACTTAGCAGTGACGTCACTGCCAAGTTCCGACATCTGACTTCCGAGGTAAACGGATCTGGTGGCATCTGGCATTAACCAAAATGGGTAGAATGAACTCCACTGAAGCTGCAAATGCAGGTCTTCTGTCTTCCCTGAACCTTACATCTCAAGGAGGTAATGCGTGCAACAGGAAACACCTAAAGGTTCCCACACACCACAGAATGTACCCAGCAAGGCTTTCATGTAGAGAATTTCTCATACTTGATCACCACAAGCCGTCATTTTATATGCTCATGATGACCTACATGTCGTGAACAATAGACTCCCACATGCGCGGCGCATTGAAACCACTCAGATGTGAACCAGTTAGATAAAGATGCTTCAGCAGGCTGATTGAGCATCAGCGTCTCAAAATTGCAAAGTGGCTTATCTCTGTCTGATAATATATATACATATTGCTTCTCCAAAGCAATTATATCATCTAAAAATATACACCACTGATGGGTTATGTTTTGTTATGTTATTAGGGCAATACTTTTTTTGTCAGCCCATTCAGACTTTTAGCTGTATATGAAAAGCAAGAAACACGCTGCAGTGAGAGCATCACACGAGCACTCGCTTCTTCCCTTTTTTATGGCCTCTTTTGGAGCATGTCTGTCAGAGAGCCCAGAGCAACATCCTCTTGTCCAAACGTACTGGTAGAAGATAAAGCTGAACATTTGAGCAGTGTGATGGCCAAACCCGTGGCCACACTCTAAAGTCGGTAACTTTTGTATTTTCATTCTTCATTTTGAACATAGTAATACATTTTAGTTTCCAATAACTTTATTGATTGGTTTGGATACATTTGTTCTATTTGTAAGCGCGCACATTTAGTTTACTTATGTATTCATACTACTTCATTTCTTTGCTTTCTGACTAACTTTTGTCTTTTTATTTCTTACCTGCCATCATCCCTGGGAGTTGCTGGACAAAAGATGGTAGCCAGGGTTTGAAACCATTAAATACAAAGGAAGATAATTGGACCACACCACCACTTCCTGCTGAAGGGGGAATGTGTGTTTTCTTTACTTTAAAAACAAAGTATTTGTATTTAATTAAATATTTGAGTTTAGGGTTTAATGGGGTTTTTGATTTTCTTCTTTAGTGTTTAGTTTATTAACAAACTAGATTGTACTGCATCGTTTGTGATTTATGATTGTGTTTGTTTGTTACCCCTCATGTGTCACAATGGTCTGATCAGCCATTATATATACCCTTGTATGTCATTTCATGTTTAGGTCAATTATGTATGTTTGGGCAGTCATTTGGTTTGTTAAGGTTGCAGTCTTTGCCTGAGTTCAGTTTTGTTTCTTTGACCTCTTTTATGAGCTCAACATTTATTAGCTTTTGTAAATATAATTTTTTGGGGTTAAATAAATGAAAACTATATTTTTCTAATAATTCCTGGGACTCCTCCTGTTTTTCAACTCGGTCCATCACAAGCAGCATGATTGAAATTCAGGATCTTAGTCAGTTATGCTCCGACCACCCTACGGTCTGTACTGCAGAAGACAACAATCACCCCGAGCGTGCAAATGAAAGCTCTCATAAAGCTGAGCCTGCACTCAGTTCACTGAGGAAACCACAGCTGGCAACAGTGTTCGTCTGACATACACATAAAAAGTCTAATATTTCTATTGTTATGTTTGTGTTTTCTGCTCTTTAATGTTTCCTCTTTTGGGAAAAGAGACATAGAACAGACAGAATGGCCACTTCCTCTTGTCACATTCCTCTTGGCGCCTCTTCCGTCTGCGTCCTATCTTTTCCTCTATCTCTTCACACGTTCTCTCCTCGTCACACTTTCAAAAAGTATCCATCCAGAGCTGCTCCCTCATTTACGTCACTCTTTTGTTGTTACTTTTTGTCAGTTTCTTCTTTCATCTGTCCTCAGCAATACATCATGTTTGGATACTTGAGCTCACCAGTTCTTTCAACCAAAGTCCCATTTAATGAAAGAACGTTAGGACACAGTACATTGACATTTTAAAGAAAGTCTTATGTTGCTGAGTGTTGCCAGTAAACTTGATTGTAAAATGTTTAAATTAATGCGGTAACCATGTGCCGTCACTCTAATGATATTTTTAGCTGCAATGTTTTTATTTCTTGCCAAATACTTCCAGCAGTTCCTCATTGTGTTAATATAATATATGATACAGTGATGTCTGGTTTTGTGTTCTTACGTTACTTTCTGTTATCTGTGCAATTATCCGTTTGGTAATATATAGAGTGCGCATTGCCTTTCCAACATTACACACTATTGAAAACACACGAGTCCTTTTGGAGGGGTTTCTAAAATGTCGCTGCACTAGTTGATTCTTTGTCTGCTTGTCAAAGTGACTGAAATTCTGTCCTCACAAGCACTTAAATTAGATTCTATTTGAACAAATTATAACAGCAATCGACTGATGAGGAGCAAATCTTTGTAAGGAAACTGTGGAGAAAATGTTTTTGTAGCGGTGGGCAGTGGGGTTAACGCTGCTTGTCGGTTTTAGAAGCAGCTTCTTGGTACGGTCTTTTTTTCTGTGGGGTTTGCTTGTTCTGCCTGTGGTTGCATGGGTTTCTTATCAAGGCTAATAGGTTAACCGTTAATGATAAATTGACTGCAGTTGTGAATTTGGGAGTATGCTGTTGTCTGTCTCTCTGTTCCCCCTGGCAACCTGTGCAGCTGTGATCTGTATGCTCGCCGGCTATCAGATGTTGGATAAACAGTTAAAAAAATGGATGACTTCTGTTGTGATTTGATAAATAAACATGTCTCTTTTATTGATTTTCTTCTTCTAATGTTTTCTATTACTTTCTGCCGAAACAAATATCCATCATCACTGAGAAGTTTCATCAGAAATTTACATGAAGTCAACCTCTGTACTGAGTTCACTCCCCAAGTTCTGGGAACAATTATATTGTCAATGACGACTGTCCTTAAAGTTTCACACAAAAGAGCAGTCGCTGAATCTGATCTGCAGACGGTTGTTTTCTGAATTACAGCAAATATTTTCCAGAACCTCAGAGACCAGATACACGATCTCAAAAGTTGTAGCTTGAACTACAGTTACTGCAGGAAAATATCTCACACATACTGTGCGCAAATATGCATGTGTTTCAGTCTATTAC